GGGCCGGCCGTATATGGAGTGTCTCTCGGGCGGGTCGGCCCCTGGCGACCCGGCCCTGTTGCCCGCGGGAGGGTTTGGGGTGGGGCGAGGGACGCCGCAGGCATGCGCCTGCGCTCCAGGAGCTGCACCTGTCCGAAAGGCATTCCCACCCGTGTCCACTCTGTGCTCACTGGGCGCTCTGGAAGGTGCCTCCCAGGTCTCACCCCTTCCTCAGGTTCTCTACTCAGTCCATCCCTACACCCACCCCAGCCCCTCCACAATACGCCCCAACCTTGTCCTGCGGCCTCCAGGAGAAGGGGGTCTTGTGGTTGGCCTGAGAGAAAGTCAACCCCGGGCCCCCAGGCTGGGAAGGAAAGCGTCCCCCACATAAACCTTCCTAGTGAACTTTAGTTCTCCCTCCCACTAAAGACCGGAATTCAAAAGACTGACCCAAGTCAGCCCCCACCCCCACCGCAGAGAGAGAGGGCCACGGGGCTGGAAGGCTGCAGCTGTCGAGGGCAGACAACTGGCATTGGGAGGTGAGGGTGGAGGGCAGGAGGAGGCTCAGGGCTCCCGGGGACAGGCCTGGTGGGTGGGGTGCCCCTGGCCTCTAAGGGCACAAGGCCAGGGCTTCTGGAGCCATCTGCCTTGGTGACTGAGCAGCATGGGTCTGTGAAGGCAGTTAATTTTGGGGGGTGTTCTCCCTAGGAATGACTTGCCCCAGGCCTGTGGGCTGAACACCTTGGCCCAGTTCCCATCCTGGCTGAGGGCCTGGCCTATTCAGCTGAAAAAGGATCAGGACCTGGGGCTGGGGGCCCCTGAGGTGTTACTAGAGGTAGTCTTGTCCATCCCTCTTCCCAAGAGAGGACACACCACCGCAATCTAGGATGGGGAGCAAGTTATCCTTTTGCAAAGTCTAGGTAAACTCATCTTTATATTTAGAGGATGATGCGTGCCAAGGCCAGGCTGTGTCCCAGGCCACCTTGGAGAGCCACCATCTACCAGAGCCTGCTCAAGCCGTTCTATTTATACCACTGATATATGGGGATATGCCTTTCAAAGTTTTCTAGATGCTTTTGGATCTACTTATGGTAAGGTGCAGCGGAGGTCAGAGGAGGTTCTGTCCAGCTGGTGCCTGTCTCACTTTTTCCCTTGGACAAGGACAGTTCTAAACTCTCCTTGGTTTAGAAGGCACAAGGAAGAATGATTTTCTGGGATGATCTCAGTGACATCATTTCAGGGGGTGCATCAGCAGTGTGGTGACATCCTTCATTTTTCTGAGATGCTCAAGTGTTCCCAAAATAGCTGCAACTTGTATTTGGCAGCACTCTGCAACTGGGGCAGGTGTGGGCGCTCTTGAGGAGGGTCTAGAAGCACGTTACCCTCCTCTGAGGCCCACACCTGGCAGCTCTCCCTAAAAATGGTCAGTTGACTTCAGAATGCGTTTGGCTAATATGGAACCAATTTAGAGCACAAGTTTCATATTTCATGTTCAACCACAAAGTACTAGTTTCCCATTTTACTTTGTTACTTTGGAGAATGAATAGGGACAAAACTACATTTTTTTCCTCTATTTTTCTTACCATGGGTCCTACTGTGTCTAGGTAGTGTAGACACTAGGCAGGAAGAAAATGTGCCATTGCTCACTGAGGAACTGAAGAATTTGTGGACAATTTAAAGGGGAGCTAGGTTGTATTTTCCAAGTCTTGTTCCACATAACTCTTGGCTTTCCTACAGCAGGCTTTTCTGAGCTATTAGATTCAAATACACATTAAAAGCTATGAACTCAACATTCATGAGGTGACAGACACCCATTAAAACCGCAAATATGGGGAGATGGGCCCCCGAGCATGCCAGGGCAGAGGTGTGAGCACCACTCTGTCCCTGCTGGTTTAAATGGCCTGCCGGGTCACCCTGGCAGTTCTCAGCCCCTTTGGGTACTGTCGGGTTCTCCTTGGCTCAGGAAAGGTTTAGTAGGCTGGTTAGGCCATCTCCACGTGTCCCTCTTGGGGAACACAGCAATGCTCCGCTCTCGGGCAGGTAAACACCTTACTGCCTGCACATGCTATGGCTAAGTGGTCGCCACATCGGTATGCTTGACCGAGCTCCTGCTCCTAAGTTTCCAGTTGCAGCCCTGGTCCCTGCTGCCCCATTACAGCCAGCTGTTTTCTCCTCCGGGCTTGCTCTGCCTTGGCCATCTCGAAGGGCCTGACTTCATGGGAGCTGTTCCTTTCCGCCCCCATCACCTTATACCAGGTGCAACAAACTGTTTAACAGTTCACGCTGTGATCTGGATGTCCCTGCTTTGACTGGTGAGACGACCCTGTGCAGAAAGACTCAGCATTCTCAACTGAGGATACCAGTAAGACTGACTTGAAAATTAGAGTCAGATAAGTGTCTGGGACGCAAGAAATATCCAGAGGTCCACTATCATTCTTCTGAGTCTTTGGAGATGGGATGCGGACAAGGTGATGAGAAGTGGGTAAAGGACATTAAAAACTGTTAGAATTGTTCAATAAATACATTTCATCACAAATGAAGAGGAAGGGTTCATGTAATTTTAAATGTATTTGTAGTACACAAAGATTTCTGTACAAAGATTTATTCTAGTATTAAAAATGGCAAAGAAATCCCCAAACTCAGCATATTAACCTAAGTGTTTTGAGACGGTAAAGGAGATACGGAGAGAGGGAGAGGTGGAGGGAAGGAAGGAGATCAAGGTAAATTAAGGTACAGTCATATAGTAAAGGGTCGTACTTTCATATGGGTGGGCAAGGGGAGGACTGATTAGGAAGAAACTATCTATAAAAAGGTTCCTGCAGAGTGATAATTACAATTTAGAAATACTGGATTAAGAAATACTGAATTAAGGATACAAAGATTTATAATGAAGTATACTTGAAACCTGTTATAAACCAATGTTATTTCAATTTAAAAAAGTTCAAAAACTTCTGCAGCTATAAACACTTCAATAAATGTTCCCATGAATAAACAAACATATGTAAAAATGCTAACAACGTTCCACATGAAAATAGGATTATAAAATATAAAAAGAGTGTGCACAGCCCACAATGTTCTAGAATACATCTCAAAATGATAAATGAAGTTACTTCCCGTTGGTGGAATTACAGGGTTTTTTTCACATACTTTTTAAACAGGCTTCACATTTCTGTTTTTTAATTTTAGAATTCTGAAAGATTTTTTTCAAATTTACTTTGGAATCTAATGAATGGATTTTACATAGGAATAAAGCTATTTTCTCTTGGGGTATTCTTCAAACAAAATGTCCAGGAATAGGAAGTGGGGCTATACTAAAAATTTTGTAATTATCAACCACAAGTGTACAAGTGTGCCAAATAACTTCAGAGATAAGTGAGTAAACTTTACTGCAGTTTGACTTCCTTCTGTTCAAGTTACTGAAGGAAACCTCGCACCTCAGGAAACACACACACCTGACCCTGGCCATCCCAGGACAAGGGGTGGGCAGTGACTTAGGGAAACAATTGTTCGGATCTCTAGGTAGGAAAAGCAACATCATCCAGGTTGTAGAAGTTTTCTTCAAAAATGGAGAAAATCCCTAGGACAGAAAGTACTAAAGATTTTAGCCAGTTTCTTACTATTTCCAGTGCTACATTAGTCCTGACACATGAACAAATTCTTAAAACACGCCAATAAACAAAGTCTGCTACTCACTTCAAAGACAAATCCTTATTTGTTTTATGGAGGTCATAATCTATGACTTTTAGCATAGCAAAGGCAGGAGAAAGGAAGACCTTTCCTCAAGTCTGTAAAGTTTCTTTCCTTAGAAAACACGTTCGCGTAGTTCCTTTAAAAGCTGTCCTTATCAACTATTTACACTGATAATTCTTTGATAGACTGAATTAATTTTTAATTTAGAAATACATTATTAATTTACTCATTTTGCTATTACTGCTAAATATTTTTAAAACCAATCACTTTTGAGCCCTCGTTAGTGCCTTAAAGAGAGCTAGAAGTGAGTGCTTTGCTCCCTTCAATGGGAGACTTGTCAGTATCGACACAAAACCAAAGCCTTGCCGTATGTGACCACCTGCCACCTGACAAGCTTCTCTCCCTGCTTCACTCAGCACCTACCCTTAGCAACATATATGCCTGACTGGACCCTGATGCCGTCCACATCCAGCTTTGAGTCCTTTCTTTGACTAGTAATGTAACTAGCTCCCCAGAAAAGAGGGCCTGATGGCTGCACTGTGTGAAACCAAGAACTGGACTCTGTTCACCATATTTAACTTCTGACCTTTTCAGCTGTTGGAGCATGTTGTTTAGTGAGCATTCGACCCGGCCAGAGTCTGAATATGCCAGCTACTCCCTGTCCAATCTCTGCTTTATTTAAACCTGGATAAATAGAATCTGAGTGATGACACTGGTCAGGACAAAGAAGCTTTTGAAAACACTACTTTTCAGTTAAGCCAGTAGCCATATTAAGAAAATCCATCATTTCTAGAGTTACACAGTCCTTAGGTTAGCTACCCAAAATATAGTAGAGCCAACAGTCTGTGTAAATCATCCTGAGTGGATTGAATCCCCACATTGAAAGGCTACAGCTAACACTAATGCTCTAAACTTATATGGCAAGTTATAGGGAGCTCACGCAAAATAACTCCACTGCTGTCCTTTACTGCCATAACAAGGCAGCAAGTTACAATCTGAAGAAGATATCTGCCACCAGTCTAACCAAAACAGATACCAACACTCCAGATACCCTTCAGTGTAATTGCGTCTTCTTATTTCAGAAACCCAGAAGTGATTTTTACATACAAGTAGCCAGAATCAGAACAAGAACTCCAGAAAGATGGGTGAAGGGTAATTAAAAAGAGGAAGAAGTAGTGAGTACAAAAACAAATGGCAAAATTTCAGGGAAAAAAAAGGAGGAAAGAAAAAAATGACAGAACTAGAACCATATAACTAGCTTATAGTAGCATCTAAATACAGTATAAAAAAACTTAGCACTACATACTATAAAATTATATAAACTTCCAGGTTTTCAAATAAAAAATTTTATAAGGATACACTATACAAATTTTCAGGAACAATGAACATTTTAAGAAAATGTTACATTTGTCCTTGCACATAATATTCATAATTTGCTTTCAAGACAAATTCAAAGTAAGAATTAGACTTCAAGTTTCCAAGCTGATCTGCTTGCAGTAGGTCTTTCACCTCTGGCAGGTATTCACTCAGCTGAATGCCTATAACAAACAAAGAAAGTATTTTTATTTTGATAAATTTTCAAATTAAGATGATTGATGATAAAAACACCTGTGCTTCTATTTAAAATATGTCACCCTGCTATTGGTAAATACTTGGTTCTAAATTCCTTCCATCTGTCAAACATACTTGCAGGTCTAACAATATGACATACTTCACTTAGAAGAAGTTGCCTGAGTGTTTGCTCCCAGGTCAAAATAGCCAATCTATTTAAAGTCTTTAATAAGTTCTGAAGTATTTTCATTTCCCCCCAGAGTGTAAGTCAATGTGGAAGTTTTAAACTGACAATCACTGGAAAACAAGTATTTCAAATAACTACATATTCACCAAATCTTGGAATTAAATAGCTACAATATCTCAAAATGTATTGGTTTAAATAGACAGAAAGAAGAATCATGATCAGTTCCCCACAGAGCTGGAAAGCCAAGAGCACTGATTAGACAGACTACATTGAGTTCTGTGAAGTTACACAAAAGTGTGCACATCATTTTCTCACTTGATAAAGAAAATTAGAGGGAAACATTTTAATTAGTAAGAAAATATTCTACAATTGTTACATTACAAAAGCTTCTCCAAATCAACACTGTTAAAAAAAAAAGTGCCTGGCACCATTTTTTGTATTTAATTGTTATACAATAAAAAAAAAAATACTCTGTCTCTCTACCTTTAAATGCGGTCCTTAAAAAAGGACATAGAAGCCATGTTACTAAAAAAGGATCCAGCAAAAAATACCTTTGGCTTGATGAAAGATACTTTTTATTTATATGCACTTAAATTTATAAGTAGTTTCTACTAATTTTTGTTCTTTGGTAAAATTTAATAACTTCATAAAATTGTAAATTTCCATTTCTGTTTTCCATCTATAATTTATAAACTAAGAAGAGCAAAAACTGCAAAGTCACCTTTAAGTAGAAATATTTAATTAGGTGCAATTCAGTTCTATGGCACTTTCATGAGAACTAATATAATGGAAAGTGTTAGTCCAAATGCTTCTAAGAATCTACTGGGTTCGATTATAGAATCTCGCCAGCAGTAATGAGAGCTCGACCCTATTAATTTATTTTGTCAATTCCAAATAGAGGGAAAGAGGAAGCATTTCAGATATATTTTAGTTTTCTCTGAATTTCAAGTATTTCAAGTATTTTCAAGCAAATATTTTCCTTATATGCTTCCCTTCATTCTACTTTTAGCCTTTATTTATCTTAACCTTTGTGATACTCATTGTTGAAAAACAAAAGCACTCATGAAATCTATTATCATTGTGAAGTGTTACCAATTTTCCATAAATGAAAGTCCAGATCAATTTTGAGCTAATTTCAAGCAAACTAGTAATAGAATTGAATTTATATTTATAAATTGAGAAGAAAATACAAGGTCAATGCAGAGATGCTTCAAAATAAAGCTTTCTGGAATATGAAATAAGAGTTTGCTTCTCTTTAGTCTCTTTTGGTTTGGTTAATTCCCCATACTTCTTATTTCACTTCATTAAGCCAGGGATTCTAAAAACGGAGGACCTCAGAGTAAAATCTACCACAGAGAAAGTGGGGATAGGAATTCACAAAATAATTCTAGGCATTCAAAGAAGACATGTGTTTACTGAATGACTGCTAGGTGCCAGTACAAGGTTGGGCATGTTTTATATAGACTAACGTTGTAGCACAAACAGAAAATTTTCAAGTGTATAAAAATGTCACCAGGATGAATAAAACCCATTATTTCATTTAGAATAGAAGAGTCCTTCCATTTGGAAGGACGCCTGCATTTGTAACAGAATTCAGTTACTGTGTATTTTCTTCAATTGATTTTTAAAGAGCATCCTTATATTGATAAATATACTAAATGACCCTATTTTGCATATTGCTTAGATTTAGCATTTCATATTATGCTTTAATTATTCTAGAATATAAGCTACATTTATTTTTGTGTATAAAAAGTGTGAAATTTCTCATCTCTTGTCTAACACCCTTTGTATATAAACTTCCAGTAATATGAAAGAAGGTGAAAGTAAGTATTCTTTAACTCATTTCTGAGAATAGGCATTTTATCTGTAAAAGTTTCTTTACCTATTTGTGTCACGATTAGCACATAGAATTTTGCTACTTTTGGCCTAAAGTACAAAGCAACTACCTTCCTGAGTCTTTCTGTTTCTAAAATGAATTTTAGAGTGTTAATGTCCAAAATGGATTTGTAAAAACATTATGCAATTTATTCTTATGTGTTGTATGATCAATTTAGTAGGTGATATAACAACAACAAAAATTTCTCATTTCAAGTTTTCAATCTTCACTAGAGCTGAGTGAAAATTCAAAGGAAATGGTTACTGTCAGTTTAGATTCTGTGTCCCAACCAATGTTTGTGTGCCCTCCTGGCCCATCCTCGATCAGCATGGGGACAGTCTGATGCTGTCACCAAGAACCCAACTAGAATGAAATTTCATCTGACACGTACAACCCCTTTTGTAGAAGGGAAGAAAAATATTCTTTAAACAAATCTCTCTAGTTCTGAATATGACACTATTTAATCTTGAAATGCCCTGGCAATTGACATCTTGGCAAATTCCCCACTATTCTAACACAGGAATGATGTTGTAATTTCCAATATTAAGAATCACTTACCATCTTTTATAAGTTTCTGTAAGATTTTCACAAATATACTGTCTCTTGATACTTCAATTGGATCATCTTTACCCTCTGAACTGGACCAGCTAGAAAACAAAATCACTTTAAGAGAAATATGGACATACTGCAAATAAATGACTTTTGTTAGTACTGTGGCTTTGTTCTGATGGTCCAGAGGATGGAGAGTCTTGACTTTTGGAATACTAATAAAATCATTTAAATAAGGGGACTTTAAATATTAGATATAGGCTCTACTTACTACAAAGTGCTACACTTAGGTAGTATAACCATCATGTATTCGATGTCAAGATACTAGCTGAAATCTCTTTCCCAAGAACATTTTACATAACTATCAAATCTAGTAAGGATCCCAGAGTATGATTTTTCAGAACCCAGGCAAAAGTTACTGTGTGTCACAATAGACTATTTTTTATAAAAGTAAAATGGCAACCAGTGCTTGGTATAATGTTTTCTTTATCTAGTTGAGATTATTTAGTACTAAAATACAACACACAGAACCACTGTTTTGTAGTTATCAATGAATATACCCCACAAAATACCTTAAAATTTTTAGAGGCAGCCAGCCAGAACAAAAAATTCCAGTGAAATGGTACCACATTTCTTTCTGATTAGGAAAGTGAATGATCCTTTAAGAGGGTGATTTCCCAGACCAAATTTAACAACAGTTTTAAAACTATTTGGGGGTGATTACAGGAAGGATACGTTTTCCAACTGTATTTTAGACTTTTGTCATGAAAACTTACTTATCTCTCTGAAGAGCTTTGCAAAGGATTTCCAGTTTTAAATCATTTATATTTACATCTTCCTCCTTCATGGAAACCAAAATGGAAACATCCTCATTAGTCCGGTTATTTTAAAAATAACATGCTTACATTTCAGTTATGTCAACTCTTAATTCTTCACAAATATTGTTACTTTAACTCATAAATTAAAAAAAAAGACAAGATGTTAATAGTGCTCAAATGAATAAATCACTAACTTTGTGAATTAGTTTCTGATTATTCTGGGATAATCTGATTATAAAAGGAACCTTATGAGAACAAAGATTTTTTTAAATTGAAGTGCCACTGGTTTATAACATTGCACAGGTTTCAGGTGTCAGCATCTGTATATATATACGTTATGCTCATCACCAAGTCTAGTTTCCATCCATCACCATATAGCTGATCCCTTTTATCCACTTTATTCACCTGAGAGGGTTAAGATTTCAAAGAAGCTAGTAAAAAAGCCAGATTATAAAATCTACCAAACTTTATATTCAACTGCAAGGTGAGCACCTTATCTCAGACTTTTCTTTATGCCTCCTCCTAACCCCCACACTCAAAGGTTGAGAAACACTTCTCAGAGGGTAAATACAATGAGGAATAAATTGATAAAGTAACTAACATGTCAAATTGAAGAACTAATAATGACTTGGTAAGTGAAAGAAAAAATATCCTCTAGGACTTTGAAAAGCAAAAGTTTTTATTTGTATGTGGAAGAGCAAATCTGGGGATGTGAGAATGTTATCAGAAAAAGGAATCTCTTGGACAGTTTTTATAAAGATGATACATACTCCAAATTATGAACCAGAGATATTTTTTAAATTAATATATTTTCATGATCGGCTAAAACAGGTATTCTCCCTCCCCCCTTTATATTTACTCAATTCTACAGAAAACCATATATAAATTGTGATACTTTCCTGTGATTGAATCAAATGGCTATTTACCTCATCAATGTATTCTAACAAGTCCAATGCTTTCTTGAAATCGTATTCATTAGCTCTTCTATTTTCTTCACATATATATAACTATGACATGTTAAAAAAAAAAAAAGTAAGAGGATTATTTTAAGTAATCAAATAACTGAGACTAGAGGAATTTCTGAAGAAGTCATTATGTCTTTCGGGCATCCCTAGTGGCACAGGGCTTAAAGTTTCAGTGCTACCAAGCTTTTACCAGCCACTGCAGCGGAAGTTTGATCCCAGGCCAATGAGCTCATCCACGTGGCACAGCAGACCTCCCCTATTTCACCTGCTGCTTCTCTCAACAGTGTATTTCAGGAGATCCTGTTCTGCTCCCCACTCTGTCTCTGATGAATTCTCTCACCAACCCTGATGAATTCTCTCACCAACCCCATCACCTTCCCCTCTGGCCTATGCCCCAGTTTTTGTGTACATAAATAAATAAAAATAAATCTTAAAAAGAAAATCATCTTTCAAGTAAGTCGTAGGTGTTTTTATGGTGAGGAATAGTGTCATATTTGGAAACTTATCTCACAATAAACTTTTTTAAACTTTCTTTTTTTAAAAAAACTTTTTAAAAAAAGATTTATTTATTTATTCATACAGAACTGGGGTACAGGCATGACATGTGGTGGGTGAGAGGATTCACCAGGGACAGAGTGGGGAGCAGAACAGGCAGGTCGACGAAGTACACTGCTGAGGGGAGCAGCAGGCGGGTCAGGAGAGGTCTGCCACGCCATGTGGTCACCTCCAAGGCAGGCGGGT